TATATATAGTGTGTGTGTGTGTGTGTGATTTATATAAATTATTCTTTAAATGGTTTGTCAGTTTCATGGAGCACTTTCTTTTATGAGTTATTTGTTCTCTATTATTTGTTACATGATTTATTTCAGTCAGCATGGTGGTGCAACTGGTAGAGCCGCTGCCTCTCGGCAAGAAGGTTGCCGGTTCAAATTCCTGTCCGGGGGCCTTTCTGGATGGAGTTTGCATGTTCTCTCTGTGCATGTGTGACCAAAAACATGCATGTTAGGCTGACTGGTAACTCTAAATTGTCCCTTGGTGTGAGTGAGAGAGTGAATGGTTGTTTGTCTCGTTTGTCTCTATGTGTCCCTGTGATGGACTTGCGACCTGTCCACAGTGTACCCCGCCCCTCGCACAGTGATTGCTGGACATGGGCACCAGTGACCCCCGTGATCCAAAACAGAAGAAGCGGGTAAAAGATAATGGATGGATGATTTATTTCTGTTATTTCTTCAAAATATACTGGTTTTGAACCTTCAAGTCAAAAGTTCTTCTAATTAAGTAAACTAAATTGAACTCTTATGTGGCTGAGAAACAAGTTGTTTGATCTAAGGTTGTAAGGTGAAGAAAAGTCAAATAAGTGAACTTATGAACTTAAGGTATGGCAGTTTAATGTTTTAATGGAATTTGGTTTACTCTGAGTTACATAAACTGAGTTAGAACTGATTGTAAGGAGGAGACTGGGTACGTTTTCTCCTGGAGTTTGTTTATCTGTTTTAGTTTTGTCATCAGATCACTGGTTGGTTAAATATGAAAAAGATAATAAATAAATAATAATAATAATAAATGAAATAACAAATGATTTGGAGGATGACAAAACTAAGAATGCCTCTTCATTACAGTAGTACTGCAGAGACTTATGACCTCTGAAATATGATTCTTACTTAATCCATTTATTTCAGTGTTACAGATGTAAAGTGCTGTGAAATCATAAAACTCCTTCTGTGTGAAATGTCAGCTTTTGAACTTTACACATAAAATGACCTTCTGTTTATACAGGTAAGCCATCATCTTGCACATCCCCTCCTGTGACTTGCACAGGAATGGAATATGAGACTTGCTTGAACACCCCTACCTGAAGACACTGTGGATTCTACATTGTGGCCTTTGAACACTAACGTTTCACAGGCTAAATGTGACTGTTGTGGACTCTAGTGGTGATGCAGGGTATCAGGGAGGCCCAATAGGGAAAGTGATTATTGACTAGTGACTATGTCCTAATGAAAGTTTTCTCTGAGGGAGCCCCGTTCCAAATGCAAAAGACCTTAGTGACATCATGCCACCACCACTGGAACTGCAGAAGGAGAAAGAGAAATATGACAAGCTAAGCAGGGAGAGACTTGTAAGATCTGCTGATGTCAATAAAGGCTGGGATAAGTACAACGAAGAAGGATGGAGCCTCCGATGTTGACCCAGGTATCCTTTGTCTTATAAAAAAATGAAACTCCTACAAAGGGAGAAACACTGAAATGATGTTGTTGATGTAAATGGGGATGTACAATGCTTATTGTGTTTTGCTGTTACATTTTACTTTTTAGTTTTATTATAATTATTATTAAATCTTGATACTCAGAAGAGCTTCCTGGCAGTTTCCAGAATCACATGTTGCATTAAGTTGCAAGCTGAAGAGAGAAATATATATCTGGGAAAGCTTGATGAGTTTACTTAAATAATTTTGCTTTTATATTTATGTTTACTTTTATTATATTTGATTCATTATTGTTTTTCTTTCTCTATTTACATGTATCCCAACCCACCCGCCTGAGACACTGAAATGCACCATAAGGTAAGAGTTGAACGAGTATATAATTTTTAAGCTCGACATTAACATAATAAAACCCGAGCAGAACTCCAGTATTTGATGACGTCATAGATCTCAAGATACAAAATAAATAAATAAATAAAACCGCAAAAAAAGGTAATTATTTACAAAAAAAAAGACCAACAAAACATTGGGAGCGTATATTATGCTCCTACCTTTTATCATACTGCAAATAAGTCACAGGAAAAACTAAACTATTAGTTATTATTATTAAACTGCAAATGTGAAGAAACGTGCAACACGTCAAAAATGAAACTTAAACTGAAACTGGTTCTGGTTCGGTGGATTGGACCCGGTGTTGCACCATACTCTGTGACCTGCAACAGTGTAACACCACCCCCTACGGTCATACGGTGGTCACATAATATGACATCACTACGGATACCCGACCATACATTTTTAACCTCGATAGATGTCCTAGCAATCGATGTGTGGATTACTCGAGTACTCTGTTAATGCCCTACCATAAGGTCATCGTCGAAAAGGCACCGAGGTGGTGTGATGTGTCCCCCTTGATTGATATAGTATTTTGACCTTTTTTAAACTGTTTTGAACTGTGTTGCCTAGGGGGGCTTTCAAAAAACGTTCAATACAAAAACAACTGGACTTTATTTGGGGGGCTATTTAGGGGGGCTTTCCTTCACTTGCGTAAAGCATCATTACTGTACTTGCAATGATTGATACTGATAATGTATTAAGAATCCATAGACAGAGGGGAAATGTCAGATAATTTTTGGTCAAGGGTTATAAATTTTTTATTGTGTTTTTGGCAGCATGACAGCTCAGTGGTTAACACTGTTTCATCCCAGCAAAAAGGTCCTGGGTTCAATCCCTGGTTGGACCTGGGGTCTTTCTGTGTAGAGTTTGCATGCTCTTCTTGTGCTTGCGTGGGTTTTCTCCGGGTCCTCTGGTTTCCTCCCATAGACCAAAAACATGCATGTTAGGCTGCCTTCAGGCCCAGGCCTCCCTTGCAAAAGAGATCTGTGATCTCAATGGGATTTGCTTGGTGAATAAATTTTATATATTATGGCTCATATGACTGAGAAACTTATTTCCCTCTGCCCTGAGACCAAAACAATCTCTCATCTTGACCTGGAGCCAGCTTGTTGACTTGCAGTGTCTCTTAAGTACAGTGCTTCTGACTTGCAGTGTCTCTGAAGTACAGTGCCTCTGACTTGCAGTGTGTTGTCGCCATGAGAACATGCCCAAAACGTTCTCTTATCTCCATCTGGAGACAAACCCGTCAAAGGCCATGGATCATGTCTGTGAGGCTGATTGCACCTGA